CATGAAGTTCTTTGGGGGGCATTCCTTGTTTCTGGCCCCATAGAGATGGCTTCGATATCATGTCATACTCGCTGGTGCGCTTCGATGTTATTGCAAGTTTCGCGTTTCGCATTGCCGGAAGGCGGCGATGGTATATTGAATTGAAATGGTCATCGAGCAACTTGTTCTTCCGAAGTAAAAGACATGTATCAAAGGCCGCAGAGCGCTTCGCCATGGACTTCTTCATTGCTGGGCTTCCTGTGAGGCCTCGGATAGGTGACTTTTCCGGTAGAATAACCTCGCAAACAAAGGCACCGTTGATAGGAAGCACTACATAAGTTACTTGGGCCGAAATCTCCTTTTCGTATTGCTACAGACCGCGACTCGTTAGAAATTGACACGTAATCCTAGTTGAATGTCACACATACCAAAGAAGTAGCGTACCGAGCAAGTATCGCCGTTGCTGAATGATAGGTTAGCTTAGCACCTGTAGATTTGATCTTGAAAGTCCTGTTGCCCTCGTCTTTCTGTAACACTGTATCAAGGTCGTGGTCAATGCCATATAATAGCCTATCCTCCGGGAGTGTTCTGCAAAAGTTTTGCATCATTTTCTGTCATGTTAGTTTGGCATGTTAGTTTGAATACAGCTTCTTGCTCATAGGGACTTACTTCAGCATCTTGAACCTCAAGTAGCCTCTGCTCATGATCCAGGTTTCCTCTTTCGACCATACTCGCATACTGTAATTCCGGACATTATTTCCTGTAACACACATCTAGCATCTGGTCTTACCGTTGAATTGAAATGCCTCGCCCGCCCACGGCTTTGCACGTATTGGATCAACGTTTGATAGAGATCAAACCTATTTTATCAGATTAGGCACTCCGGTAGGGAACAGCAGAGTTACCACCATACCTAACGACCAGATTACAATCAGGAATATCTAGACCCTCTTCAGCAACTGATGTAGCGAACTGAGATTGGTTAGCATTTGCTATACTGTGAGACGAATCCGAGTACTTACCAAGCAATTGATCTCGCCGGTCCTGAACTTGACTAAGGAAATAAATTGCTGGCGGAACGTTATATTCATTCCTGCTAAATCCCCAGACCGGACACCAATAAGCACACCAGGCCGAAGGAAGGGAATATTCAGGGTTTGAAAAAGTTCAGACAGAATCAAAGCTGTGTAACGCTTCTGCGTGAAAACAATGCATTTTGTCTCCGTCGGTCGTCCGAAATAGTGGACAAGCTCTTCGCGAAGGACTTGCACTTTGGGGCTAAGCTGGCCAAAAGTCTCAGGACTGCTATGTTCATAGCCCTTCACTATCTCACTGGCTTCCGTTATCCGCAAGATCTCTTTGTAAGCACTTTCAGGCACATCAGAAGATGTTTCAGAGTTTGCCGTCTTACGAACATTACCTTCGAGCTTGGGCAATACATCATCTGCTAAAGCACGCGCCCATGCTCGATCTGAACACCATCGGCCTAGCTCAGAGCTGGCCTGCCAAGCAAATCTGAATATACCCTCCAAGCACGCCATGTCTCCAAAACGATCTTCAAGCTGCTTATATAGGCTAGTAGCAAACGGTTGCTCCAACCTGTTGAAGGACCATACTCTCTCCACTGGACGCCTGACCACCTGCCGTAGAAGTGACATGTTGGAAGTCGTCGCTATCCTACTGTCAAGCAACTTCTCAAGTCTCCTATTCTGAATTAGTACTACATTTGTTACTCCAGATTTCATAACATACGTGGCTTCATCGACTATATCACCTTTTGTGTCAATGGGTGATGCAGTCATCCCAAAAATTCGTGGACGCTTTGAGGGGTCTTCTTCGAGGTAAGATTCACGTATAATGCTGAAGTGTAATTAGCTTTTGTATGTGTTTCAAGTCAGATCATACACACCGTGCATAGGGATGATCTTTCTTTGTATGGTGCGCTTCATCGAATATTAGGAGGTTAATTTGGCTCATCTTGACGTAGGAGTTGAGCAGGCACTGGTTCAAAATCTCCGCTGTACAGACGATCACCATGTTCTTTTGGAAGTGCTGCTCCCAGGCACTTTTGCTCCACAGGTCAGTTCCCATAGCTCCAAAGAAATGCCCGACACTCTGATCCAAGTTATTGCGTAGTACCGCGGCCTGTTGGTATGCGAGTGTAACGCTATCCACCTGTTCCTGTGTTAGAGCATCTATTCCGGGTCAGAAGAAGATTGCGAAACGCACAAGGAAAAAGGCTATTCGATGTTGCTTCCCCTCCGCGCGATCATTCAATTCCTTTTCCAGTGTATGTTTAAGTAGCAACACTGCGATCAAAGTCTTCCCAGAGCCTACATTATCATTAGCTCGCATCAAGTCAACTCATTCTTATGTGAGGATAGTACCCGTATCAAGTACAGCAATTGTATTCTGCGCTTTCGCTCTCTCAAATAGTTCCAATTGGTACTCTCTTGGGTCCAGCGTACCAATTCCGAGGTCTTGTTTCGCTACCAAGTGAGCAGTAGAAAGCTGAGCATCTGGCAGGTCATGGGTGAGTTTATTGTCATGGATGGGGCCTGTATCAGCACGCTGTGCAAGACTTGATGGATATTAGCGCTCTTGCATGCTCGATTTATGGACTGAAGTACTGACAGGTCTTTAAACTTTGCGTTCTGGGTAATACGTTGCTGTGAAACTCCTGCTTTGCTCTGGTCTTCGTGCTCGTCATTGTCGGATTCATCCGATGATCTGTCATCTTCCTGTAGTATATCCTCAGTCATAGTCACGGCACGCCCTTTTAGTGTTTCCACAGGTAAATTCTGATCAGGCCCATGAAGATCGGTATATACTCCCATATCGAAAGCGTGAGCTGATGGCATTGTGGTCTTATCCTACGGTTAGTTCTGAAGTAAAAAACCGCTCAATGCTGAATCAACATTCGAAGATGCGAGGAGACTGTGTTTCCCATTAAAAGCAGTAAGTGAAGATAATAAGTTTGAAAAAAAAGAAGGATGTGAATATGTCACTGGGGGCAGTCACTGGCAGCCGGTGGTCGTGTCACAAACGGAGACAAACAGCGGAAGATGGAGACCGGCTATTGCTTTCACCCCTGTTAGTTGGTCAAGGTTGATATGTGTGACAGCTATTAGATGAAGGATCGTTAATTGCTGATAGTTGTGAAAGCTATTAAGCGACGAGTTGCTTCAACAAGATACTTCATTTCTATAAGAGTACTGGGAGTCATAAGTTCTACAAGATGGGTCACTATATATACTTCCGAAAAGGGAAGCACCGCGGGGCAAAGGCTATATACGCGGGGCAATCCATGCATGGATTTTTCCAAATATTACTTAGTCCTTTTACGTTGCTTTCCTGATTCCAATAGATATTTCTCGCAATGGTGTAAAATAACCCAGGCGTTTCGTAAGTAATCCTCCTTTCACCGTTTAAAGATGAACCATGCATTATGGTGTGCATATATCACGTGGCACTACTTATGCTGTGCTTAGCTTAGTGAGGTGGATACTGGGCAGTAATTAATGTAAGAAAGAAACGCCGGTGTATGAAACAGCCCTCATATATGCCGATCGGCAGTCATTCTCCAGCGGAGCTTTTGAATTCATACAACATTACCCCTCACAATCCCGTGAAGCAGCGCAATGGAACAGCCGCAAAGTCTACGATCCCTTTTTGCGGAAGCGAAAGCTGAAAAGTCTGCTTTAGAAGCCCGCCCCGACAGCAACACGGATGCATACCGCAGTGATGTCAACGCAACAATAGCCAAGCTTGAGGAATGCCAGCGGCAAGTGGGCTTGCTATCTCTGTTCAGCTCGAACGAACCTTTGGAGGACATCTCCACGACAGATATCCAGTATAGCTATGACATACCTAGCGGAGCTGCCTGAGGATGCGCTAATTTCTTGCCTACCTCCAGATACCTTACGGTAGAGTATCATCTTGCAGATCTTCTCCAAAGAACCTACAGCTCGGACCGCGAAGCTCTCCTCCGACGTGCGCTTGGGCAATATGAACGCTTCCTCGCCCGACTAGACGATTACGACGTCCTCAATGAAAAGGACAAGAAGCTTTATGAACGTTACACCTCAAACCCCACCTCTTTTTCCCTGACCACAACAAATGATGCTGCGACCCGCCGAGAAGTGAAGATAAACAGATTCAAGGAGGAGAAGGAGCTGAAGCAGAAACTAGAGGTTGGATAGGCTTTGCTCATTTTATGCTACTGAGCGATCTACTTACACTCTCTCAAGTATTTTGCGAATAATCAAGGCCGGCTACAAAGCGACGAGGAGGATGTTCGGAAACTCTACCTCGCCGAAATCAACCTCTACATCCACCAGTCATTCCAGTCCTTGGATCTGCTGTCGCAAGAACTGACTATGCTGTCAACCATCCGCAGTGCTCCGCCAAACCCCGCTGAGTCACTGCAGGATGATCCACGTCGGCGGAATCAGGCAAGCCAGTCAAGCTACTCCGAGCGCCTAGATCGTCCGATTGCCGAACTGCTGAGAGGAGGGAAGTTCGGACCTATCCTGAGTAAGGAGGGGAAGCCTATGCAGCCATTCACGTTGCTTGATCGCAGGACGCAGCTCCAGCAAGGGGTTTTCCGATCGGGACATAATCTACCCACTATGACGATTGATGAATATCTTGAAGAAGAGAAAAGGAGGGGTAATGTTATCGAAGGCGGGGGAGAGAAGTCAGGCATAAAGCCTGAGGTTGATGAAGATGACATGGATTTGGCTGATGAAGAAACAATGAAGGCCAGAGCTTGGGACGAGTATAAAGAGGCGAATCCTAGAGGCTCTGGCAATACATTGAATCGGGGTTGATGTGCATGAAATATATATATATCTCTCTCTCTAACGGCTGATTGGCCATTCAAATTAGCCAATATGATATGAGTGCCAAATAATAGAATAGTACTGCACACCGTGTCGGGAATCTTTCAGAAAGCCTACTCAGCAAGTTAGTTGTGATGGAGAAGTACTTTCAGCAGACACGTAACATTCATCTTTTTTCATATGGGTATCCATCTATATATGTCCATTGTATCATCATATCTCCCGTGAAGGAGAAGACCAGCATCTCCACCACATAGACTTTACAGCTTCTATATCTAAGCAGTCTGCTTGTTGCGCTGGATTTCCTCCAGGATCTTGCCGGCGCCCTTCTCGACCAACGCCTTAGCCACAGTAACACCGAACTCCTCCGCAGCCTGAGGCGAATCAACAGCCCCATCAATCTCAACCTCAGCGCTCTCCTTACCATCCACACTAACCACAACGGAACGCATCCTCAGAGCACCATTGACCCATTCGGACTCAACACCCAACGGCGCACTACATCCACCCTCAAGGGTACGCAGAAGGCTGCGCTCTGCCAAACTAGCAAAAGTGGTCTCCTTATGACCGATGTTCTGTAGCATTTCCAGCACCTGCTGGTCATCCTTCCGGATCTCAATGCCGAGAGCACCCTGACCGACAGCATAGAGCATTCCCCCGTTCTTCGAGTCCAGATAGCTAGTGATACGATCGCCCAGCTCCAATCTCAGCAAGCCAGCAGCAGCCAGGATGAGACACGTGAATGGGCCATCCTCTGCATCCAGCTTCGACAACCGAGTGCCAATGTTACCACGCACATCCATGACCTTCAGGTGGGGATAGCGACGGGCGAGTTGGGCGGTACGACGGATGGAGGAGGTACCGACGACGGAGCCTTCGGGCAGCTCGGCCAGACTTTTGTATGAAAGGCCCTTCTTCATGACCAGGACGTCTCTTGTGTCTTCGCGCTTCATCATAGGGCCGAGGGTGCAGGAGGAGGGGAGGAGAGTCGGCACATCTGCAATGATAGAGATAAGTCAGTGTTCATTTCTTAAGGCGAGAAAGAGAACGAGCGGATATGTACCCTTGAGAGAGTGTACAATAAAGTCGACCTGGCCAGCAATCAGAAGGTCCTCCAGTTCCTGGGTCCACAGGTTCTTGGTCGTGAAGTCACGGAGCGCAATGGTCGTGTTCTGGTCGCCTGCGGTCTCTCGGGAATGGATCTTGAATTCATAGTCAGGCCATGTTTGCTTGAGCGCCGCTTGAACCAGGTCCGTTTGAAGCAGAGCAAGCTTGGACTTGCGCGTGCCAATGGTGAAGGTCTTGCGCGATGAGGGGTTGGTGGCGTGGGGCGGGGCAGAAGCCATTGCGACGATAGTTGGTGTATGCAGGAAGCGATCGGGTTTCTAAGTAGATGGTCGGATTGAGGTATATCTTGCCGTGATCTAGGCGAAGAATATTGCGGGCGTCGAAGTACTAAACAGAAGAGTGGGCTGCACGGCTCTCAAGCATTGAGGGGAAATGTTTCAGAGACAATCTTGACATTTGACGCTGGGTATTTTACTCGTATTTTGCGTTTGTCATACGACTCGGCCCAGCCCCCGGCGGTAATTATATAACCGGGTAATGTTACCGGATGAGGAGACACCGCCTTTCTTCGCGGGTCTCGTGCTTCTGGGGCATCGAGTGCCACATCACGCTGATTAGCCCCGGTCAATGTACTTTGCCTCGGAGTTCCAGTAGAGAAGATACATAGTAGATTGGTCACAATGTCTTCAGGGACTCACAGCCTACCATGGTATGTTCTGGAAGAGCGGAAGCTGTGCTGCAGGACTCCGGTTTCCGCAGACGGGGGAATTGACGTTGCCCCGTGCGAACCTCGGCATCGGAGAGAAGGGCGCTTATCGGATTGGATCTCCTCCCCAGAGTCACGCCTTCATCTATCGACGGGGTTCTGGAACAGTGGAACCTCACCTCTACTAGTTGCCTTATAACCCGACCGCCACGACAGCCCCGTGCGCTGTCGACCTGATCTACCATCGTTCCCCAGACGACACCAACCCTTCATTTCACCTCTCCATCAACTTTAATTTTGTTATCGCTACTGAGTGTGTGCCTTTGTGTTCTGGCGTACCGAGATGGGTTCCAACAGCGGCAGAACAACCAAGCTCCCCTTGGTTCCGCTGCCCAAAGGATCGGTCCTACTTCCTGGCATTACGCTACGGATTCCTGTTTCGAATCGCCCGGATCTCGCCAATTTACTGTCGACAATCGTTGATCGATCGGCCGTGGCGAAGCGCGATGGAACGGCTATCACCTTCGGTTGCGTTCCCCTCAGCTCACCTTATCTGAGCAAGGACGGTCAGCGACTCATCGATGACGGAAGCTTGGATGAAGACCGGAGGGAGGAGTTTGAGATGATTGATGCTGGACAAGCCAGAAAGGAGGATCTGTTTCGTCATGGTACCGTTGGTAAAGTGATTGGTATCCAGCGCCGTGCCTATTCGGAGCCGGCTCTCGTGGTCCAGGGTGTCCAGCGGTTCACTGTTAGGCGCGTCTTGAAGGAAAGACCGTACTTCGAGGCTGAAGCTATTGTTCATGATGAGAAAGGTCGGTTTTCTTCTGTTGCTCTGCGCTGTTGTTGCTACTTCTTATCTGGACGAGTGTCTAATCTGGTCATTTCTAGAAACAGTCTCCGGCGATGCTGAAACAGTAGAGTTGTTCCAACAGCTGCGACAACTATCTCGCGAGCTCCTGACCTTGCTGCGATTGTCTTCCTTACTACCTTCTCCTGGAAGCCGCCTTTCGCCACTCATTGCCCGGAAGTTTGAACTGTTCATTACCAAGTCTGATGTCTCCCATGCGGGTAGACTGGCCGATTTCATGGCGGACGTCGCCGACTCCGGCTTCGAAGAAAAGCTTCGGATCTTAGCATCGCTTGACGTCAAGATCAGACTAGAGAGAGTTGTTGAGATTCTAACTAGGCAATTACAGAGCATCAAGAGCAATGTGAAGGTCACTACAATCACTACCAACAGCTTTCCTAGCTCTGGGTTCGATATTAATCAGATCGATCCTCGTGACCGTGAGATTCTGGCAAGGAAGGCGATGGCTGGTCTCAGCGGATTGACGCCACCCGGGTTGTCAGCCGGTCGAAACAATGACAACGATGATAAGGAATCAAACGAGGTCGATGAGCTGCAGCAGAGGCTGCAAGAGGCCCAGCTCAGCCCTGAGGCTAGAAAGGTTGCCGACAAGGAGCTGCGACGTCTTCGTAAGATGAACCCGGCAAATGCTGAGTACGGTGTCTGCCGGACCTACCTCGAGAATATTGCGGATATCCCTTGGACTAAGATGACCGAGGACCAGCTTGGACCGGAGACATTGAAGAGAGCCAGGAAGCAGCTAGACGATGATCACTATGGATTGGAGAAGATCAAGAAGAGGCTTCTTGAGTACTTGGCCGTGCTCCGACTCAAGCAGTCTACCAACAGAGATGTTGAGCGCCAGATTGAGTCCTTGTCGAAAGAGCTTGAAGCATCCGATGGAGGCGACCTCGAGAAGGAGGTACCTGTGTTGTCCGAGACGGATCGAGTCGCTGTTGAGACAAAGCTGCATATGCTGAAGACTCGTCGCATGGGCGACAAGTCGCCCATCCTCCTGCTTGTTGGTCCACCAGGCGTTGGTAAGACCAGCTTGGCGCGATCAGTGGCCTCATCACTCGGTCGCAAGTTTCACAGAATCTCTCTGGGTGGCGTTAGAGACGAGGCTGAAATCCGAGGCCATCGCCGGACCTACGTTGCTGCGATGCCGGGACTGATTGTCAGTGGTCTCAAGAAGGTCGGCGTTGCCAACCCAGTGTTCTTGCTCGACGAGATTGACAAGGTCGGAGGCGCCAATTTCCAAGGAGACCCATCAGCAGCCATGCTCGAGGTCCTGGATCCTGAGCAGAACCATACATTCTCGGATCACTATATCAACATCCCTATTGACCTGAGCAAGGTACTCTTCATTGCTACTGCTAATTCTTTGGACACTATCCCGGCACCCCTACTCGACCGGATGGAAACCATCTCTCTGTCTGGCTACACTACGGTTGAGAAGCGACACATTGCCAAGAGACACCTCATTCCGAAGCAGATCAGAGCGAATGGGCTTTCGGATGGCCAAGTCGTTCTGTCTGACGAGGTGATTGACAAAGTCATCACGTCCTACACCAGAGAGTCGGGTGTTCGTAACCTAGAGCGTGAGCTTGGCTCGGTCTGTCGATACAAGGCCGTCCAGTTTGCGGATGCGGGTGATGCAGGCCGACTTGATGCGTACAACCCAATGGTGAGCATGGACGAGTTGGAAGATATACTAGGTATCGAGCGCTTTGAGGAAGAAATCGCCGAAAAGCATGGTCGTCCCGGTGTTGTCACTGGACTTGTCGCGTATTCCACTGGAGGTCAAGGCAGCATTCTATTCATCGAGGTTGCAGACATGCCGGGCAACGGCCGGGTCCAGCTCACTGGAAAGCTAGGTGACGTGCTGAAGGAGAGTGTGGAGGTGGCTCTGACATGGGTGAAAGCCCATGCGTTCGAGCTTGGACTGACTGCGGATCCCACCGAGGATATCATGAAGAACCGCAGCCTGCACGTCCACTGCCCGTCCGGAGCCATACCGAAGGATGGCCCCTCGGCAGGCCTGGCACACACGATGGGTCTGATCTCGCTATTCACCGGCAAGGCAGTACCTCCCAGTGTTGCCATGACCGGCGAAGTGTCGCTCCGCGGCAAGGTGATGCCTGTTGGCGGCATCAAGGAGAAGCTGATCGGTGCGCACCGCGCCGGCGTCAAAACCGTCCTCTTGCCCCATCACAACCGCAAGGATGTCAAGGACGTGCCGCAGGAGGTCAGCGAAGGACTTGAAATTGTTTATGTAACGTGAGTATTTCAATCATCCCTACTTGCTGTCTGCATATTGCTAACATTTGACAGGCATATCTGGGAAGCTATCCGACAGGTGTGGCCAGATGCCCACTGGCCCGGTCAGCACACCAACTTCATCGAGAGCCGACTGTAAGGGCTCTCTCCACTCACTCACTATTCAATCACAACACGACCCAATGGTCCGTGTAGATAGTACTTGTTCTTTATTGTTTGTTCTCTCTTATTGTCCTTCTAAGCGCAGCGACCACTTTCCTTTACCAGCGTCAACATATCCTCAATTCCACACATAGTTATCTGTCAGTTACCTCCAAATACTATTTCATTCACCCAGCTCATCTCAAATACAATGGATAGTATTGAACACACACAAGTAGGTAGTAATATAAATATAATACACGGCGACAGCCCTCAATCACAAACTGTCTAACTTAAAAACCCTGATATACCAAACAGGCAACAAATTTCTAAACCAACATATCGATGAATCAAGAAAATCACGACTTAACCAACGGCCTCTCATAATGGCCCAACCCCAAAGCCTTCCAAGTCGGCCTCCACGGCTTAGCACCCTCCAACAACTTCTTCGCATCCTCCTTATAAACCTCCCTCTCCTTCTCATCCGCCTTCATTCCCGCATCCGGCTTCTGCTTATCCTGGATCTCCTCCTGGTATTTCTGAGCCTTGAAGAACTGGTCTTTCTCCCATCTGCACACGAACACCCATATAGTCAGCATTATCCCTAAACCCAACAATTCCACAATAAATAAACAAGGAATAAACATACGGAGCCATATCCTTCGGCGCCTCGGGCCAAACAAACGCCTCCTTCATCTCCACCGTCATCTTCTTCTTCGACTGCGGGCGACGAATCTTGCCATATCCATAACGACCCAGGGACTTCAACCTCGTCAGTTTCTGTTGCTCGACGAATGACCGCACGCTGACGACGCCCACGCCGTACAGTCGCTGCAGGTAATCGCGCATATCCAGTTTGTTGAAGTTGAGCGGCACGTAGAAGGTGGCGTAGCGGGGAGGGAGGAAGGGCGTGCGGATTAGGGCGATTGTGAAGTCGGGACTATTTCATTTAGAATCAAATTGTTAGTGTATTCTTATTTTTGTCCCCCCATAGTTCTTTATGAAGTGGGTATTTGGTATGGGAATTGTATATAGGATGGACCGTACAGGAAGATCTGCTTCCGTTCGGACAGAGGCGCCGCGGGACCGACCCAGTCGGCGGGCTTTTTGGGGAACTTGGAGAATCGTCGGACCATTTTCAGGGTGAATTGAATGGATCCGATCGAGGTGGTAGTGGTGGTGGTGGTGATGATATTCGTGAGGGAAGATTGATTTGATTTGATATGCTCCCGGCGGAAAGTTCGTCGGGAGCAAACGTGAAATTGCGTGGTTGGCCGCGTCGGGTACCGTAGTGTGATTTGGGTGTAGTTTTCGGGGGTAGGAATAGTTCTGCAAAAGGTCCTGGAGATTATTTTTTCTAGTACGAGGGAATTGAGATTTTGTTCATTTGAAATATGGTTGAATGAGAAATATTTTATATTCGTCATGGTCATTACTTTCATTTACTGGTGTGCTGTTTACTGTCCTTCCGATACCTGCAGGTTC